TGCTTTTCTCTCCGTGGTGCCTGCGTGTGCGTGTGCGCGCGGTCTGCAGGGCGCTCTCCACTCTCCGCAGCTGTCCAGCGCCGCCAAGGCCCTCGGTTAACGCTTAATTTCTCCCTCCTGTCTCACCCACCACCCATCCTTACAGCAACAGTACACCTGGGAGGGCCGAGGCTCGCAGAATTCCCTCCTCCACACACTCTTGGCCTCGGACCCAGGAACCGAACCTTTCTACCTGTCCCCGACCCTGTGATGGCTCCAGTATGAGTGGCATTGACTTTTCCAATGTAATGACTTATGAAAGATATAATCATGTGTTAAATTGAATCCTCCGTTTAACTGTTAATGGTGTGCTCTGGGCACATTTACGTATTAGATGCTATGGTAACTAATTACCACTAGAAGAAAGGATAATACACTTCCCAGACTTTGAAAAATAGTGATGAGAGTTCACTTGCCCGCTCGCAGCACATTGTGGCGGCTCTTCCGGGCAGAGCGAGGGAGCCCGGGGAGCCCCGAAAGTGGCTCAGGGAACGCCCTCGCTCCTGGTCAGGCGAGGCGCCTTCGTCAAACCTTTCATGAAAATGTGATTCAGATGGTGAAGTGGCGGTGGGGGGAGAGTGTTGGGGTGGTCAACTACACAACGATGCCTCTAAGCAAAATTAAATTGCAAAACCTAAACACCAGAAACATAAATAAGTTTGCTTTTAATTAAAATGCAGGCCAGACTAAATTATCCACGTGCCAAGCAACTTTACATCAATTAACATTTTTTGTTGTGTGGATAAAATAAATGAGCCCGTCTCCTGCGCGTTCTGCATTGGCATTTATAACTCGAATGCCCCTAAATTTGCCAAGCCAATGGAATGCAAGTTGATTTAAACTCGGCCTTTTAAATCAAACGGTAGGCACAGCAGATAGGAGGGAAACAGGAGGGAGAACCAGGAGCCAGTAACTTGAGTTTGCGAGTAGAAACAACTGTCAGGGCGAGAGTCTTTCGCCCGGCCACAGCTCCCGCTCATCTCGTCGCCTGCTGTGTTTCCTAGAACCAAGGTTCTGTAGGCGAGGCGGGGTGACCGGGAGCCCGCTCCGCTCCAGGGCCTGGGCACGTGCCTGTGCTGGGGACCTGGGAGGGCGGGAGGACGGAGGAGGCGGCCTTCCAGCAGGTGCACCAGGCCCGGCTTGCAGACAAACCCAACGATGTCCCCAACGCTCGCTCCCACTGCGCTGTTCTGCTCGCGCTGCGCTCCGGGAGGGACTCGGGATCCGCAGCCGCAGAGCACACCCTCTCCCGGGGCGGTCCCTTGACCGTCCTTCCGGGCCCCTCTCGCGGGCGCAATTGCCATCGAACCTCCAAGTTCCTTGGGACAAAAAGAGAACTTCAGGGGCTTTGCGTCAAACTCTTTCGTGCGTGGCACTAGGAACGGGTTGTCCTCTGCACCCCCGCGGGCGTGTGAGTTCATGCGTAGCTGTCAGCCTTGTAAGGGGTACTCCGCAGCCGTGCCAGAAATTGGCGACAGCGCCACAGGTTTAACCCCCCAAAAGCTGCTCGCTTCCTCACACGGCAGCGAAACTCTGCTTGTCTTCCCTGAGATTTGATTTGGGTTAAATTCTACCAGTTTTTCTATATTACTCCTCTTAACACAATCCAGGAGACTTGTCTGGACTATTGAAAAACTATCAGGTACCGTGTGTGTGTGTGTGTGTGTGTGTGTGTGTGTGTGTGTGTGTGTGTGTGTGTGTGTGTGTGTGTGTGTGAGAGAGAGAGAGAGAGAGAGAGAGAGAGACTTTCCCTTCTCCAGTTCCCTCCCTCTAATTCAGGTAATATAGAAACACAAATTAAAGAACTCTGGAAGAGAAATGACTGGACAAGGAAGGATAGACTTTAATGGGAAAGAGGATTTTGCAGTTACCTGCTTTCCCCCACCCCCGTCCTTGCTACATATATGATGGACAAGCCTATCTTACAAGTCACCAGGATGCTTTGATGGAAAGTTAGTTTTAATTATGCACAATGTGATATCATTCTCCTTCTCAGCTTGGGAAAGAGTTAATTCTTTCCCAAAGACCATAGTTGCCCTTGTCTTCTCAACCTGATTCAGAGATGCAATAAAATATGTAGCAAATTTATGGTCTGTTTCAAGCATTTTATTGCTGTATTTTTAAATTCATATATGGACATATAAGAACTATGATCTGTGAATAATTTGAAATGCTATAGTAGAATGATACATTTTAGATAAAACATAACCATATCTTCATATAATTGTCTCAGATTAAAATAAAAAAGAAAAATAGATTTCTAATGTGGACCAAACTGAAAAACTAATGATAGCCATAAAGTGCTAACCAACCATAAATTAACATCTTCATCAAATGCTAAAATGGTATCAGTGGCTATATAAAGCAATTATTATTTCTCCTTATAAGTTTAAGAATAAAGTTCAGGGATATTTAAAGGATCCATTATTTACAAATGTTTCTCAGTCTTAAAGATTTCATTTTTTATTAGGAGGATGGTTGCAACTCAAATCTGCTATGCTAATAGGGGTGTTTAGAGATGAGAATTTAGATTTAAACATAAAAATGCTTCATGGCCTAACCTCATTTTATACACTTATAGTGCTCTGGTATTTACTGAAGAACTTGGTGCAAGGATTTTTTCTATTAAATATCCTTATCTACTTTTTGAAAAAAGACAAAAACATCTTATTGTGAGAGACACTCAGATTATATACCTAACTCGTTAAAACATTAAATAATGCATTGTTTATTCAAGTAAGTACAACTACACTTATTATATACAGTTTCTCTCTACAGTACTATGATCAGAAGGCAGATGTCAGGCTGAGTCCCTGCCCTCCCTCTGAGGCTTTCATGAAAGGAAATAGTTTTCCTAAGTAGCCTCCACAGAAATATGAAGAACCACGAAGGAGGAAAGAACATCTATCCATTAAATGCCTGACATATCAGGCATTTGCAGGGGCAGTTAATACCTAGGTCTAAATAACCTTTTGGAGAAGTATCAGGCATACATTTCTTTTAAGTGTAGATTTCTCAAGAGTAAAATTAAGTAAAATCTGTAATTACTGAAGGAGTTCTTTTAAAAATTTAGAAAATTATTTTTTTATAAAACAAAGCAATTATTTGGACTCTGGACGATCTGGGTAGCAAAAGAACTCAAGGGATTTCTGCTACTTAGTTGTTATTTACAGTACATTGTGCCATAGAGTGTTTGCTGTGAATTATCATCCCCAAAGGTCAAGGATTAACTAATCTTCAACTGGTTAAGTCCTAGGACCACTCCATAGTTGGTTTGTAAGCATTGTTTAATCTGAGTAGTTCCTTCTTGAAGAATGAAAACTATTTCTGTAAACTTTCTGTAGAATAAAATGAGTTTGAAATAAAAAGTTTAAAAAAACCAGTATTCAACTGTACAACATGGAGGAAGTACTACTACATGTACAGATTTAGCTTAATATAAAATTCAAAAGTGATTTCAAATGCTTTAAAAAATACACCATTACACTTAAAGTAAAAAACAAAGGCATGTATGAAACTTTAAAGATACACGTTAGTTCCAAGAATTATGGAATTGAGGTACATTTCATTTAAACACTAATTTGAAAATAAAAAATGAAGACATTTATTAAAAAGTTTGGGTTGTGTCAGGTAATAATGACATATATTTTATGTTAACTACAATGGCTAGTTTTTATAAATAAAAGCTACGTAAAGTAAATGTTCTCTTGCAAGCAAATAAAAATCTTTAACTAATACATGCTTCATATTTATAAATGTTTAAGTTTGACTCAACCATGAATCATTAGATAGTAATACCTTTACTTACTATTTCTATTCCTCTAGTTTCTCCTATAAGCACAAATTGCTCTAAGGGAAATAAAATGCTTCATGATTCTATCTCCAAACATTTACTTTCTGTGTAGTCTGAAATATATCATGTCTCTTCTTATAAAAGCCAAGACATTTAGAACTTGAGAACATAACTATATTTTAAATAATTAACAATAAATAATACCAAACACTTTTAAAAAAATCCAGCATAACCTTTGAGTATTTTTTTATTGAGCTCTATTCTAAATAGAAAATGCACATTATTACTCACATGATGATGGCTAATTCCAGAAAGTTCTACAAAATTTTATTTACTCAATAAGTGCTTTCATAGAATGAGACTGAAAGCAAAGATAATTATTTCACAGATTCCCATTTAATGACATAATTTACCCTAGTTGGTAAAAAAAACAATACTGAACTGACTAGTTCAAATGGACAGGACCACCTTCTAACAGAGGTTAGGAGCACCTTCTAATAGACCAATAGACTTCTAACAGAGTCTAAGGCAAGTTCCTGTAAAACATGAATAACTCACACGAGTGTTTCTTAGAAAAGCCAAGTGTCCCAGTGAAATACTGTATGTGCAGCCACTGAAGGAGCCACATTTCATTTCATCAGCAGCATTCTGTATTACATGCTTTATTTACAGTTTGTATTTCAATTTATGAATAAATAGAACACTGTCTAAATATTACTCAACTTTATTCATTATTTGTGGTAAAGTGAGGAGATCTGCAGAAGACAAAGACCACATCTAATGAGATCTCTCTCCCATTTCTTGTTCTTATACATCTCTCCACAGAATAGTAGTAATTTTTAAGAATTGTATCCTAGTAAGGTTAGCCTGCTTAAAATAAATATTAAAGAACTCAGTGATATTTCTTGGATCTGTTTTTATTTTTCCACACAAATAACTATATTAAAATATATTGAAAAATACTTTGAATATAACAATTTATGCACTTTTAGGGAGAGCATCAGAAAATAAGAATATATGTATATGCGGGAGGGTGGGTAGAGAGAGAGAAGGATGTAAGAGAATTCAGACAGCAAAATTGTTTTCCAAATAATTTGCTTTTTGGAATCAAATCTTCTGTCACCCAACGTGTTCCGAGCAAGGAAATAAGGAGACATAATCACTCATCTGTGCTTTAAAAGTTCATTTATTGCAGTTTTGTTGTAAATAAAAGAACACTAAATATTAGATTTGCGAAATATTTGCATTTTTATCTAACATCTTTTTAAAACTTGCTTCCTCAAAAATCCACATATATGCCATTTTAAAATCAAAAGATAATATGGAAAAAATAATTCCAGACAACATTTATAACATACAGCACTTTTCTCTCTACCAAATATTTTAAAACATAAGTATTGGCAAATTATCACCCACTTAAAATTGTGCAGTTGAATTTTTTATAAATTAAGTTTATTTTACTCTAGAAAGCACTATCACCAAAATAAACATTTAAGCTAAAAAGTTCAAACATCAATGACTACTGATTTACATTAACACTGAAGTAGAATAAGTAGTAATTGCTTTAGATAAATGCAAGAGAGTTTTATGTGATCGCTCATTATAATTTAAAATAATGCTACAGGGAATGTAATCTTGGCTTGCTAACTTTTTCTTAATTGAGTATGTGAATATGAATACCTAATAATGCAGTGCAAGTAAATAATAGTTTGCAATATTGGTGAATTTAATAGGTTAAAAAAGTACACATTGTAGTGGCATGTAACTCTTGTTTACACAATTATTGCCATTCTTTTGTACTAAGATCAAAACTTAGATGAATTTTGTGCTTTGGTCTTTGAAGCATTTTAAGATTCCACTCTTAATCTAGAAAATGCTTACAGAAAATATTAGCCATATTATTTTTTATGATAAAATAAGCACAAGTAACCGTGTAGATTTTGAGTATGGAAGTTCCTTTGCTTTAGATTTGTGATCCAAAACTTAATGATAAACGGAAATGAGATAATGAAGTGTGCCAGGGAAACCAAAACATGGCAGATAAAAGTTCCCATATAGGTTGCATATCAGAATGCCTTGTTTAGTGATAAATAGCTTTTTTCTTAATTCCTTTAGGGCTTTAGTTTCTGCTAATTGAATGCTTCATTACTGTGGGTTGTTGATGTAAAACAGTATATTGAGTATAAATTATTTATTTCCTTTAATTTGAAATTTAGGTGAATCTGTAAAAGTTAAAAGATGGGTTTTCACAATATACAACACAGTTTTGAAAAACTTCTGGAGCCTCAGTAACTGCATTTTGTTTTGGTTATTTTTATCATATTATCACAATACCTGTTGTACATGTTTTTATTGTGCATAAGTATAGACAGTGATTTCTCATTATGAAATGCTGCTTTGGAATGATTGATGGAAGGCTAGTTAGTACTAGTGATAAATCAGAATTTTAGAATAGTTTTAAAGAGATGAACTTATTACTTGCAACTACATTTATAATAAATTAGTTGTGTGTGTGTGTGTGTTGTTTTCTCAAATAAATTGTGTTCTTAAAGGGGAAGGGTGACCTAGTGCATCACATTGTATCAAGAATATAGGAAGTGCTCAATAAATGTTTGGTTGAATAATGAATAATGACTTAACTAATGACTATAAAAAGTTATTCCCCTTAACAAATATATAAGAACGATTTTTTAAAGGCACAGCATTGTTCAAATATCTCTGTTACCCTTTGCATTTGTATACCGCATTATACTTTTCAAAATAAGTTCATACATTACTGTGTTTAATCCTTGTAATGAGCCCTGATGTCAAAAAGGCCATATTATTTTTATTTTGCAAATGAAGACACTAAAGCATTGAAAGGCAAAGTGACTCATTGATGATAAATAACCAATTCTGTCACACCTAGAATCCATGTCTTTTAACTTATTAATCCGTGACATTTTTTTTCTGTTCATAAACACTCTTTAGTTACTAGATTTAAATCTGTCATAAGACTCTCTTGTTTTGTTTTAGTTCTACTGCCCATTCCTTTTATATAATCATTTCTCAACCATTTTACTTATTCTTGCTTTCTATTGTAAGTTCCTGTACACACTTCTAATGCATAAAGCCAAGAACTTGTAGAGCCAACATATTTGGTAGGTGAACTGGAAAGAAACTTTGCTTCACAGAGCAAGACTGTAGGTATACTTGCCGGTCTGAACCTTGGCTTTGGGTGAATCAAACGAACAAACAAAAACCCCAGAAAACCTCTCCTGTCTATTCATAGGATTCCATTCTACCTGATTTAGGAACAGAACCCACAATACCTATGTAGCGTCCCCTCCCTCCTCTCTAATATTCAAGCAGAAAATTTAAAGTGATCTGAATTTAATAGTAGCATCAGTAGTCAGACAAAAGCAAACACAAATTCTCTCTGGGGGAAAGAACTTTAAACCCAGGTCTAAAACATTTTCCAGAGATAAAATTCCAAGGAACATGATTTCAGTGAACAAGCCATTCCAGGCAAAAGTTAAAGGCAAAATAAACTACAAAATCAGACCCACAAAACACCAGTGATTTGGGAATATTAGATAGAAAATATAAAATATGTTTGCTTAATACAGTTAAAGAAATGAAAGAGGATATCAAGGGTATGATGAAGAAACAGCATATTATCAAAAATGACCAGGGAAACTGAGAAATGTAACCACTGAACTCAGCAAACTCAGTGGAATGGAAAAACCTGAATGAAGGCTGACAGGCTGGAGGCTAGCACCCTGATTCAAAATCAATCATGAAGACCCCACAGAAGGGAGAGAGTAGTCTGATCTGAGGGTGGAACATAACAAATTTAGAACATCTTAGGGAGAATGAAAGTTAAAATAAAAATAATGGAAGAAACAAATGCAATAGATGAGTTAAAGAATAGATAAGATAAACTGCATGAAGAAGAAACTGAAAAGACATCTAAAGAAATTACCTGGAATGTAAGTTGGAAACAGAAAAATATGGGGAGAAAAGGTCAAACAGCATGGAGTGCAGAGTGAGAAGATCTAACACAGAGTCTGAGAGAGGTAACACTCAAAGAGAGAATGACTAAGAATATTCCATTGATGAAAGACACCCATTCTCAGACTCATGAAGCAGCTTGACAGGCAAGATGATAAACAGAAACTAAGAACATCAAAGACAAAGAGAACGTGTTAACGTAGCCAGAGAGAAGAGGCAGACTACCTGCTGAGTAATCAAATTGACTAATGGCAAACCTCTGAATAACAAGGATGGCAGCATTAATAACACATGATATCTTCAAAGTGGTGTGAGGAAATTACTGCCAACCTAGCCTTGTGCTCCAGCAAAACCATCCTTCAAGAATGAGGGCAAAAATAAAGACATCCTCAATCAAGCAAAATCAGAAATTACACCAGCAGACCTTCGCTAAAGGAACATTCGGAGCATGTACTTCAGGAAGGAGAAAATAAATGCTAGAATATCTTATTTACTTATTGGGTATCATAAGTACTTTATAATGTTAGTTTGAAAATCAATTAAAAACACCATAGCAAATTTCTGGAATATTAGAAGTTCCAATTAATGCAACATGAATTAACTGGGCTTTATTGCCTGCCTTGCCTCTTTGTAAATTGCATCATGATTTAAGTCATATGCCAGTCAAGGGGTAATCTGATATAAGAAGGCTTTGAATCACTGACACAATGCTGCACTGTGTCTGTCATATAAAATTATACTGCATCATATAATGTTGTAATTCAAAATAACAGAAATAAACTCCAAGTCCAAAAGGTGAACTGTCAAGAACAAATACTGCTATATAGCTTCTCTGTTTATATAAGTGGAAGCATTCAGGAAAGGGTTAACTGCAACAGTGGCTCTTATAGCTTACAGTAAAGCCACACACTACAATTGATGCTGTAATGATTTCAACATTGTCTCCTATCATAAACCTAATACTAATGTCTAGGGCAATTGCTGAATATATAATAGGTTTTGTGTTTTCTTATGTATTATACCTTATCAGTATCTAACTTGAATATGAGAGGTCTTATGTAATACAAGAAATTTTGTTCCATTGAGCCATAGTATACAAAGTAATAAAGATCATTTATGGATGATTAAATATTGAAGTGAAGTTGAAGCATTTAATCTACTGCAAAACTCATTTAATGCAAACGTACACTGGCAATATAGATATTATTGATATTACACTTGAAGGGAACATTTTCAGCCAGTGTAGCTCATGGAAATTTAATTTTCCTCTCATTTGAGAATTTGAAATTTGTTAGATGGTGTCCATTGCCAGCACAATTTTTCAGTAGTACATACAGTGTGTTCTTCACATTAGAGAAGAATTTGAGTTACTTAAAAAAAATCCCACAGTGCCAAGTATTGCTGTAAAGGTACGTTTACTATAACAAGTGAAAATTGCAATGGTAGAAAGTAAAATAAGCTATTTTGAGCTTATCAATAAGTTGAATTTGATGTCCATTTCCATGCTATCATTCTGTTTTATTTTATGATAGGGTCTGTGACCGAGTCCAAAATGAACTGATCTCAGATCAAATAGAAATCGGCACTTTTTAAACAAACAAACAAAGCAATTACATTCACAGAAATTAAAAACAAATAGTTGTGCTTATGACATTTAGGTTAGTTTTGATAGATTTCTTTTCTTTCCTTTTAACTTCTCTAAGATTTTATCTTGTACCTAAATAAAACATCAGAATCTGGATACTGAATACCAAACAGTAAGCGGCTGTAGTTTAGTGCTATAGGCTTATTGTCAACTATTTCTAAATCAAAACATGTTAAAAGTACAATCAACAATTGTTTTATTTCAGTAACTGCAAAAAATCGGCCCGGACATTTGCTGGCTCCAAATCCAAATGGCATGAGGTAAAACTTCAGCTTTTTCTCTCCTTTGAAAAAGGTGGTTTTCTTCTTACCATCTTCTGTAAAGCGATCGTATCTAAACTCCTGTAAGGAATAGACAATGTTAAAATCAATATTTTACATGAAATAGTCTGAATTCACGTCCACAAAATTGCTAGCTCTCCATGCCTGTCTTAAAAGGCTCCTATTGGGCCGAGCCCGTGGCACACTGGGGGGAGTGTGGCGCTGGGAGCGCAGCAGCGCTCCCGCCGCGGGTTCAGATCCTATATAGGGATGACCAGTGCGCTCACAGCGGGTCTCAAAAAAAAAAAAAAAAGGCTCCTATTAACCTGACAAACACCAGAAAGTAAAACTTGACTAAGTGTAAACCATGTATGAAATTTCAAAAAACTTAGCTGCCACTAGGAAATTACCTGTCCCATACCAAAGTGAAACTCAAACACCTATATGACTTTTCTTCCCTATTCATATTTCTCTCCTATGCTGAGCTTCCTGAGTATAGAGGCTGCATTTCTATTTTTGCCACCTAAGGTGGGTCTTGACTTACAGGCATTCCTGGGACATATACTAATGCTGGGCAGAAGGGGAGGGCTCTTGTGAGGCCACCCATTGTTACCATGAATAATGAATCTTACTAGCCACAGGAGTTGAAAACTGTGGATCCCTAATTTGATTTTCTCTTATCCCTTCCCAACCAATTACTGATGGATGACAACGATGAGTTTAGGATTCAGTGCTTATGTTTGGATTAAATAGACATAAATATGAAATATAGGTATTTGACAGAGAAGAAAGTAGATATAAATAAGATTCAGCTAAAACACTAGAGAGGAACTAAGCCACAATATCAGTCTTGCTTGTTTTTTGATGTTGTAGTAAATTTTTCCTATAAAGTTTCTAGTAGATTAAACTCTCTTTGGATTAACTCTAGGGTGGCACGTGTTCCTGACATGTTGTCAATATAATAATAATTATTATATATTAATAACATATGCTATATTAGAATAACATTATTAATAATATGTTATTAATGTAACAATATTAATTAATAATGTGATGATGTAATATTACTTGTTACAAAAATTATGGGACTGGTTTATGTAGGGTATTTGGCCTACCGTCTTAATTCTGCTTTCCTGCCAAAGGGTTATGATTCAACTCTCACTTGAGATTCTTAGAGGGGACTGAGTGAGCAAATGGTAAATCAGTCCATGGTGAATCAAACCATTGATTAAATTGATGCTCTCAGCTTGCATGAAAAAAATCACATATTTCCTGTAGTTGGTGCTCATTAGCATTAGACCTGCTCAGTGCACATCCCTGATATGAACTACATGAAAACTAGATGCAAAGAACTAGGTCAGATCCAAAGCATTTCAGGTTATGGTGAAAATCCTACAACGTATGGGTAGATTCTGAGTCTATCACAAATGATTTAATTTTCTGACTCAATGCCAGTGTTTTTAATGTCAGTGAATCATTTCCTTTAAAAGTATTAGGTTTATCCTTATTTACCTAGAATACTTATTTTGATAAGTATTTGAGATTAGAAAATTTGGGGGTAGTTTCTCTTCCCCTCCAATTTGCAAGTTGATGCAATGATAATGGCAAAATTAGTCTGCATTTTTATAATGGCTTAATTCCTGACAACTAATACTTTGAGCCCTTTAGAACACAGTGTATTTGGGCCGGCCCGGTGGTGCACTGCTACAGTGCGCCGCTTGGGAGCGCGGCGGCGCTCCTGCTGAGGGTTCGGATCCCACATACAGACTGGCCGCTGACTGGCTGAGCGAGGTGCGGGCGCGACACCGAGGGTTGCGATCCCGTTGCCGGTCCCGGTCCGGTGCGGGCACGACACTGAGGGTTGCGATCCGTTGCTGGTCACAAAAAAGACAAAAAGGAAAAAAAAAAAAGAACACAGTGTATTTTATCACAGTTCTGGGATGTATCCAAATAGGATCTAACCAGTGATAAACTAAAACTGTTCATCCCTGTACTAATCTATCTGTTTATTTCTGTATTAATGAACAGGGACACCCTTTGCTGACATACACTTTAGTGGAGATAGAGTGACTATTGGAACTCTCCCTGGTAACCTTCTTTCATTACTGGGGCCCAGGCCTGCTTGCCTGAGCTAAGTTCTGCTGCTCTTTCTCACTGACCATTCTGAGGAGACCAGCCCCCTCTCCAAGAGTTCCCTGCCTACGCCAAATCAGTGTACATGAGCTTTGCTGTGAAGTGATTTGTTAGAAAAGTTCTCGCTGTAGCTCCACTGTTTAAGTCAGAAAATGCAAAATGAAAACTTAGCTTGGGTTATGACTTTATAGTGTCCTGATATAAATATGCCAGAAACCATCATGGCTTTCACATTCTTCTTTGTGAAAATGAATGTGCTGCCCTCTGAGAGGTCACGGCAGTAAACATGTATGCAGGGGTGCTCCCCACCCCCGTGACCTTCAGTTAGTGTGAAAGTCCTTCAAACTTGTATTTAATCAGTAATGTCACTCCAATTTCCTCAAAATAAACATCTTAGAAATTACTATTTAGTTGTTTATTTTAGGAAACTGAAAGGGAAATGGCCAATGACTTTTGCTCTGTGACCACCACCAAACTCAAAAGGCACAGGTGCATAAGTATATTCTTGAATTAAAATTTATTTTCAGTTTGTTCCATTGCTCAGGCACAGAGAATCCGAGAAGGAACCTCTGTTAGGAAGGGCTTGTAACAGCTGCTAGGGATAGAGTTTGTTTTTAGCCAGAAAAAGAGGGGGTATAATAATCTCACCCCTGAGATTTTGGTATCACAGTGATCTAGAAGAAAGGATCAGGAAGCTCAAGATGTATCCGTTTATTTAGAAAAACTTAAATCAGGATTGATCAAGCTGACTTAAATTTTTTGCAGGGACAAGATTAAACTTGGTGCTTCACAATTGAAGAGGGTCAGTGAAATGGATGAGAGTAGAGAAATCATAAGAGAAGGTGTCAGACACTGAAATTCCCCACTGTTCCTCTACTGATTGTTGTAGTTGACCCCTTAACATCATTCTTCTGCGTGAGGTTTGTCTAGGCACCAATCCTGGTAATCACATTGCTCTGGCCTCTGACTAGTTTGGAATAGAGTGTGTGTAGCAATCTGGCCAGTACTACAAGGGAAAAGTCTGTGGTGACATCTAGGAGAAGTTCCCTTCTTGTGAAGAAAACAACAACAACAACAAAAATGGTTCATTTCCCTTCCTCCTCTGGACCTCATCACATGTGAATATGATGTGTGGACCTGCTGCATCTCTCCTGCCCACCAGGACGGAGACGGAGCGAACCCACAGGAGAGGGCAGAGCCAAGAAATCCCAGGGAATTACAGCTGACACACTGTCTTATTTATCCCTGTATTTTTAAAACCTCCAACACAATGCTATTCCCATAGTAGAGGTTCCATATATGTTTGTTGAATTAATGAATAAATACATGAGAATAAAGTATATTTTAAAAGCAATCTTCAAGCTTCTGAAGAAAACACAGATATTGAATGAGTAAATAAACATGTAGAGAATAATGAGTAGATGAACATTCAGTGTTTACAAATAGTAGAAAATGGTATAATATTGAAGTACTAGAAATCAGGATTGGATAGAAGACACGATTTTCTGGATAGAGAAAAATTTTGGTATATGTGACAAAGGAAGATTGCATAACACCCTAATCTTTCTCTAAATACTATGTTTAGTTCAGTTCAACAGATTTTTTTTTAGCACATTCTGTATGCAAAGCATTGAAATTACAAAAACATAAAATATGGTCTTGCTGAGGTAGGTGACACACGATATGATCATGTCTTCTATCCACTCAATTCATAATTCGGGGTATAGAAATCTAAATTAAACAAAAGATATGACTTCCTAGTAAAAAGCAAAACCTGTCAATGTTTTGAATGGATGACTAAGGGGACGACTGTTGTCCCTGGTTTACAGCCCTGCTGGGGGCGAGACAACAGAGCACAGAAGTCCCTTTTTCTTTCCATGACTTGAGTTCAAATCGGGGTGTGCTGCAGCCAGCTTGTACCATTTTGTGAGAGTGTGCACATCTCTTCCTGACTTAGTGTTTAGGGTCTTCATTCTGGTAACTTGATATTGACTGAGGTGGGAGTATTTACACCACAAAAATTGTCAAATGCTACAAATCAGGGCTTTTTGGAGTTCTGGTTTACCAGCACACTGCTATTCCCTATATGGTAGGTATGAAGTGCCAATTTACTGATGTGGCAGAACCCCTTTCAAAATGAAGCCTCTGGCTATGAGAAAATAGTCACATGACAAAGCTGAGTCCCTATTCTGTAAGCAATTAAATGTGGGGACCTGTTTTATTTCTGTGTCACCCTATCAAAGTGCTTTTTGGATAGTAGATGCTCAGGATATGCTTGTTTCCCTGAAGTCTACCGATGCCACAATCTCTACTCCAGTTTGCGATACAGACAAAAAATTATTTGGAGTATTTCCTCATTTGTCATGACTAGTATAATCTAAGAAGAATGACAATAATAAAAATAATATTAATACTACAATTTGTATAATGATTGAGAATCTTTTCAAGGGCTTTCAAATTCATTTATCATTTTATTATCTCTACAATTCTGAGAAGTAGAAAGGGCAGAACTGCATGAGGTTAAATAAGACTTTCCAAATTCAGAGCTTTTGGAGGATACTCCAAAGGTTTTAGAATTATGTTGTTTCACTGCATTTCTTTACCTTAGGAAGCTACATGTTTCTGGTAGTATGTTGCCACCCTAAATGTTTTCTGTCTCTTCCTAGCCCAAGTATCATCAGGCCTACCATTATCCCTTTGCATTTTTGAACCTAGAAAAACCAACTAACAGATTTAGTCGTCTCCATAGCTCCAGTTCTGCATACTGCATTTTGGCAGAAAAGAAATCATCGCCATTTATTACTGATTATTTGAAAGCCAGTTGTGCGAATTCTGGCTGATAATGGATATAAATTTGGGGAAACCCTCAGAAAATTTTAAAAAGCAATTCACTCCTGGTGGATTATCCAGACTTTGTTAGATAGCATTTATAGCTATAAAAAAAAGAGGAAGAAAGAATCAAGATCGGACGTTTCCTTTGTGCTGTCTCATCGTTGTAAATTTCCCTTGATAATTTGTATTACCACACAGACAAGAGCCACCTGAGTGGGTAATGTTACAGTAACCTAAGAACCGATATTGAGAGTAAGAGTAATTTTTAACACAGAGGCTAAAGGATGGGAGTCACCGGCCC